TGTTGACGTTTTTGCAGATTTATTAAAAAAGAAAAACTGATATATCACATGGTCCTAAGTATTCAGACCCTTTGCTGTGACGCTCATATTTAACTCAGGTGCTGTCCATTTCTTCTGCTCATCCTTGAGATGGTTCTACACCTTCATTTGATTCCAGCTGTGTTTGATTATACTGATTGGACTTGATTTGGAAAGCCACACACCTGTCTATATAAGACCTTACATCTCACAGTGCATGTCAGAGCAAATGAGAATTATGAGGTCAAAGGAACTGCCTGAAGAGCTCAGAGACAGAATTGTGGCAAGGCACAGATCTGGCCAAGGTTACAAAAAAATTTCTGCTGCACTTAAGGTTCCCAAGAGCACAGTGGCCTCCATTCCTTAAATGGAAGACGTTTGGGATGACCAGAACCCTTCCTAGAGCTGGCCGTCCGGCCAAACTGAGCTATCGGGGGCGAAGAGCCTTGGTGAGAGAGGTAAAGAAGAACCCAAAGATCACTGTGGCTGAGCTTCAGAGATGCAGTCGGGAGATGGGAGAAAGTTGTAGAAAGTCAACCATCACTGCAGCCCTCCACCAGTCGGGGCTTTATGGCAGAGTGGCCCGACGGAAGCCTCTCCTCAGTGCAAGACACATGAAAGCCCGCATGGAGTTGTGAGATGGTGAGAAATAAGATTCTCTGGTCGGATGAGGCCAAGATAGAACTTTTTGGCCTTAATTCTAAGCGGTATGTGTGGAGAAAACCAGGCACTGCTCATCACCTGTCCAATACAGTCCCAACAGTGAAGCATGGTGGTGGCAGCATCATGCTGTGGGGGTGTTTTTCAGCTGCAGGGACAGGACGACTGGTTGCAATTGAGGGAAAGATGAATGCGGCCAAGTACAGGGTTATCCTGGACGAAAACTTTCTCCAGAGTGCTCAGGACCTCAGACTGGGCCGAAGGTTTACCTTCCAACAAGACAATGACCCTAAGCACACAGCTAAAATAACGAAGGAGTGGCTTCACAACAACTCTGTGACTGTTCTTGAATGGCCCAGCCAGAGCCCTAACTTAAACCCAATTGTGCATTTCTGGAGAGACCTAAAAATGGCTGTCCATCAACGTTTACCATCCAACCTGCCAGAACTGGAGAGGCTCTGCAAGGAGGAATGGCAGAGGATCCCCAAGTCCAGGTGTGAAAAACTTGTTGCATCTTTCCCAAAAAGACTCATGGCTGTATTAGATCAAAAGGGTGCTTCTACTAAATACTGAGCAAAGGGTCTGAATACTTAGGACCATGTGATATTTCAGTTTTTCTTTTTTAATAAATCTGCAAAAATGTCAACAATTCTGTGTTTTTCTGTCAATATGGGGTGCTGTGTGTACATTAATGAGGAAAAAAAATAACTGAAATGATTTTAGCAAATGGCTGCAATATAACAAAGAGTGAAAAATTTAAGGGGGTCTGAATACTTTCCGTACCCACTGTATATTAGGTATAGTAAATGTACATTTTTCTGAAAGAAAACAACCATTCAGGGTTATTATAGTTAAATAAAATTATTTAAAACAAAACTAAATTTTTGTTACTTAAAATAAAATAAACTTTAACTGAAATAAAATAAAATATAAAAAAATCTCCTAAACGTCAGCTAGTTGCCAAGGCGACATTTTCATTTAGTTTAATTTGATGCACTGAAATAACTAAAACTGAAAAAAAAAAATTATGAAAACTGTATAGATGTCTTAAAAAAACAAATAATAATTGAAAAAAAAACTTTAACTAAAAATATAAAAAATACAAATAAAAACTAATTTAAAATATTAAAAGAGTTGAATTTAAATAGTATTTCAGTTATGCTAAAAATAGTCCAAACTATTAAATTCAACTATTAAATTGTTTTTTTCAATATAATAATCAATACTCAAGTAAAAACATTTTAATTGCAACTTTAAGTCAACTTTTAATAACAAAATTGTTTCTACTCTAATTTTTTGTTAAAATATAAACATTTAAATAGTGCATGTAATAAAAACTACTAAAAACAGATTTATTCAAACTCAATTAAAAAATGAAAACCTGATTAACAGGTTGAGTAAAAATACAGTCAGGTCCGTTATATTTGGACACTGACACAATTTTCATAATTTTGGCTCTGTATGCCACCAGAATAGAATTAAAATGAAACAATCAAGATGAAATTGAAGTGCAGACTTTAAGCTTTAACTCAAGTGGTTGAACAAAAATATAACCTAAAATGTTTAGGAATTGCATCTATTTTTATACACAACCTCCCCATTTTCAGGGGCTCAAATGTAATCGGATAAATATATGTAATCATAAATAAAATGTTCATTTTTAATATTTTAATATTTTAATATGTTGAGAATCCTTTGCAGGTGATGACTGCCTTAAGTCTGGAGCTCATGGACGTCAGCAGAGACTGGGTTTCTCCTTTGTGATGCTTTGCCAGGCCTTTACTGCAGCTGACTTCAGTTGTTGTGTGTTTGTGTCTCTTTCTGCCTTTAGTTTGCTCTTCAGCGAGTGAAAGGCAGCTCAGTCGGGTTGAGATCAGGAGATTGACTCGGTCATTGCAGAATATTCCACTTTTTACCTTCTGGGTAAACTCCTGGGTTGCTTTTGCTGTGTGTTTTGGGTCATTGTTCATTCATACTACGAAGCGCCTCTCAATCAGCTTTGGTGCATTTGACTGAATCTGGGCAGAGAGTATATCTCTACACACTTCAGAGTTCATCCGGCTGCTTCTGTCTTCTGTGTCATCATCACTAAACACCAGTAACTCGGTGCCACCGAAGCCATGCGTGCTCATGCATCACACTGCTCCATGTTTCACAGATGATGTTGTGTGCTTTGGATCATGAGCTGTTCCAAGCCTTCTCCAGACTTTTTTCTTCCCGTCATTCTGGTACAGCTTGATCTTAATTTCAGCCGTCCAAAGAATGCTTTTCCAGAAGTGCTCTGGCTTTTTTAGATGTTTTTAGGGAAAGTCTAATCTGGGCTTGTTTGCAGCTTGTGTTGAAGCCTCTGTGTTTGCTCTGGTGAAGTCTTCTCTTGATTGTAGACTTTGACGGATACACGTCTGTCTCCTGGAGAGTGCTCTTCTTTTGTCTGGATGTTGTGAAAGGGTTTTTCTTTATCGTGGAGAGGATCCTCCGATCATCACCACTGTTGTCCTCCGTGGACGTCCAGAACGTTTACCTGCTTAATTGATGTAGAAATAACGAAGGAATAGCCCACATCTGTCCATGAAACAGCTTTTGAGTCAATTGCCCAATTACTTATGGTCCCTTGAAAAAGGGGGAGGTACATATTAAAGAGCTTTCATTCTTTAACCTTTCCTCCAATTGTGATGAGAATACTCTCAAATTCAAGCTCAGAGTGTGCACTTTAAGCCCAGATTCATTATATAACTGTAACTTGAATATGTTTTGGTCAACAGCTAAAATAATACAAATTCTGCCTTTGTCCAAATACTGTATATATGGACCTGACTGTATAATGAATATTTAATATTGTGCGCATATTTATCAAAATGCTCCTCTGTGGAGTTATTTTTCTAGCTGAATATCGAGTTTATGGTTTTTAAATTGAAAGTCTTTAAATGTGATGTTACATGCCATTATTGATCTCAAGCTGTTTTACTGAAATCTTTCTGTGGTTGAATCACTGATTGATTGAGTCATGATTGATTAGTAAGTTGTTCGGATTCTGATGTTCATTCATGTTTATTTGCTGCTATAACTAGTAGTAAAGAGGAAGAGATGATCAGCAACAACACGCGTTAAAGAGCCACAAAAACACATTTAGTGAGTGAACTTGGTGATGATACTGACAGAATTTGAAATCTGAGACTTTGTTTCATAACAAAAGTAACTTATTGTGATTATTACAGGCACCACAAATAAAGTTTAGAGGAATCAACTGAAAAAAGCATTGACTAAAATATCAATCTTAGGATTTCGGACTCTGTATCAGCTCATCAAAATGATTGAATCGTCAATGTATAGTCAGCCCAGCCCTGTTTTTCTGGCTTTGTCTCCTGATGGTTGTCTGTCATGTCGTGTCTCTCAGCGAGTCGGCGTGCCGCTTCTACAGTCAGCAGATGAAGGGCAAACATCTGGCCATCAAGAAGATGAATGAGATCCAGAGGAACATCGACGGCTGGGAGGGTAAAGACATCGGCCAGTGCTGCAACGAGTTCATCATGGAGGGGACGCTCACGCGGGTCGGCGCCAAACACGAGCGCTACATCTTCCTGTTCGATGGCCTCATGATCTGCTGCAAGTCCAACCACGGCCAGCCGCGTCTGCCGGGAGCCAGCGCCGCCGAGTACCGGCTCAAAGAGAAGTTCTTCATGAGGAAGGTGGGCAAGAAATAAAATCACCATTTTTATCAGAATTAGGGCTAATAATCAAATTAATTCCATTGTGTCGATTAATTAAATTTGGCTGTAAAATTACCCACAAAACATTATTTAAAGGCACAATATGTAAGATTTTTGTATGAAAATATCCAAAAACCACTAGAACAGTGTCTGTCAATGTCGTAAAACATTCCAGTGTTGACAACTGTTTATCAACAAAAAAATTTTCACCTGTGAAAACAAGATGATGACTACATAAGCTTAAAGGCACAATATGTAAAAACCACTAGAAACGGTGTTATATATTTTGCTGACTTGTGTGCTTACATTATCTCAAATGTTACGAAGAATGTTTAAATCCAGCGAAATAAGCAATTTTAACTAGTGACACGGACCGTGTCTATAGTGTCATAGTGTCGCCTGCCAATGACGTCATAACCCCTCGATTTCCGGTTTTGTTTTGTAGAAAACATGGAAATACCAAAGATGCTTTAATATGTTGTGCGTTTTAATAGACCGTTGGCGACCGCACAGAGTAGCATTATAACAGAACTAAATGCATATAGTATGATAAAACAGCACTGCTTTACCCCACATACGCACGACCGGAAGCGGTCGACTGTGGCATAATAAAAGCTCCGCTGCTTTACCCCACATACGCACGACCGGAAGCAGCGGAAGCGCTCGACTGTGGCATAATAAAAGCTCCTCTGCTTTACCCCACATACGCACGACCGGAAGCAGCGCAAGCACTCGCCTGTGGCATAATAAAAGCTCCTCTGCTTTACCCCACATATGCACGACCGGAAGCAGCGCAAGCACTCGCCTGTGGCATAATAAAAGCTCCTCTGCTTTACCCCACATAC